AAAAAAAAAAAAAAAAAGCGGGGAAAAACTGCAAGAATAAGATGGACATCACATCCTAGTATTATTCAACATCAATGTTTTAATTGAGGATTACAAAACGAGGCAAAAAAAGGATCGATTCCAAAAATTGAAAAAAAAAACCTTAAGCTATGGGGTTCAAAAAGATGAATGGATAAATGTACTGCATTTCACATTTTCCCCATAATTAATTCACAGAACACACACAGTAAAAATATCAGAAATAATTTGAATAACTGGCAGCAGACTGACTCAAGAATAAAAATATCAAAAATATTGGAAGAATTAACCACAAATTTCTTGAATCCCAGCAGCTGAAGACTTTATAATAATAAAAAAGTTTTATTCAACTCCCCATAGAATCAAACATTTTTTTTATTCCGTCAAAAAAAAAAAGACTCTCACCAATGTTTTCGTCAGCGTTGCCCGTCGCAATGTTTCTCACATCAAGATAACCCGCATGGGTTCCTGACATCAAGATGATTTGCGATCTGACCCGATCTTCATCAGATGATTTCTCAAATGCCTCGTCGACATATTTCTCTATCTCCAGTAATGACGAATGATCGCAAACAATGACAGGCACGTTCTCTTCGGCCAAGTGAGTCGGAATGCAATCTGTTTCACATCGAGGGTTCGGGCGTCTAATTAATTCCGTGAGGCATTTTTCATGGATTTCAAGAGGTGCTTGATCAAAATCAAAAGTTTTTAAAGACATGAAGCACGCATTTTTCTTCTTCTCATTTTTTCAGAGGTATGTTGATATGGTGGAAAGAGTTTTTGAGGTAGTCGAATATGTTAATTATGGCAACAATCCGGCGAAGAAGGGATTTTGTTTTTCAAACGAAGATGAAAATAAGAGTTTTAGAAAAGTCGCATTGCTGGAATGTAAAACCCTGGCACTAAATGATTTCGAACTCAGACAAAAATGTCATCAGCAACTAAGATTTAGCGCTCATTCATTTTAAAAACCAACGCAAAACATAAAAACAAGTTATTCTTCTCAAAAACTAAATTTCCGAATAAAAGCAGGAGCACTTCGACAGACGCAAGGAAATGAAAATAAGCAGTTCAACCTCGTTAAAATTTAAAAATGACTTGACAATGCTTACATGTGTTTCTTGAGAACGACCTTCAATGATTTGACATAAAGCCCGGCTCGATTTTTAAAAAAGAAAACGTCAGCATTATTTTTTAATCTTGAACACTTCAAGTAAGAAAAACTCAATCACCAAATCTACGCATGGTTTCCTTTAAAATCTTGCGGAAAATTTCCATCATATTACTGTATTTTCACGATCAACTGCAAAAAGTGGGGTGGGAATTATTTGAAAGTACTGCACGTAAAATTCAGCTGACAAGACGCTCAAAACTTTCTCCAACATTTCAAGCTACCTTCACTCAGAAAGAATGCTGATTTTTGTCATTCATTTTACTGAGGAACAGTAAACTGTTTTTTCTTCTCTTAAAAAAAAAAACTCACTGGAGGAATAATCAGGTACTGTAAATGCCACTGCTCCCAGAGCAACAGCGGCGTAAACGGGAATGAAAAAGTTGATGTCATTCTTGGAGCACACTAACATCACCGACCCTGGTCCAACTCCATACTTTTCTTTCAAAACAGCAGCAGTTTTCTTCACCATGGTCAGAAAACTTTGAAAAGATATCTTCTCATCCGTAGCTCCATCGATCTTTGCAAAATAAAATAAACAATAATAATAAATATCCAAGTTGTCAGCAGTTATCAAAGTTCGATTCGGTTTTCAAAGTTTTTTATTCTTTATTTTTTGCTCAGCAGGGTTTTGTGACTCACCCACATGTCTTTGTCTCCAAATTTGGCGATTATGTCGGCAATTCTTGCCTCTGTGTAACTCCATAGAGTTTTATCTTTTGCCAGGCCGGGTTCTTTTTCCGGCAAACGGCTCGCCAAAATTTTCTCTTCCTCATTACCCATAGCTTCCGATGAATACAAATAAAATACTGTATTGTGCTGTACTATAAGGCAGCAAAAATGCTAAAAAAAATATATACGGTAGAAATCGCTATACAAGTAAAATATAATCGAAAGTCACCTGAAAAATAGGCGATGAAGAAATTTTAAATACAGTATTATATGTGGAGCAACTCGAGGCAGCATAAATAAAGTTTAGAAGAATTAAAACATTAAAAATGGCATGAAATCGATCTACTGCATCTCAAATCTGATCCATCATAAGTAGAACACATTATTTTCGTGTAGTAAATTGCCATCTAAACATAAATCAACCTTTGATCATACGTCCCGTGATTAACACAAATATAAAAAAATTGAAGCATTTTTTAACGCATCAATAAAAGTAAAAATAATGCTCTCGCAAAGAAGTCGTGAATCATAATTGTCCACAGTCAACTCGGTCTATATTATTGTGGGAACTTTTTGATTTTTAGATATTCAATACTTCAGTATCACCACATTTTAGTAAATTTGCAAATATTTTCCTCGTCAAAAATGAGTTCACAGCAGCAGTTTGAAATACATAAAAAAAAACAGCCTGTTTTTAGGGAATGATACCTCAATCAAGGTGGTAAAGGAAAAACGGACAAGACATCAGTCAACTGATGAAGATTTGATTTCGTTTTCATTGATCCCCCAACTATTTTTGCTTCGAATTCACAATACAAAAACCTGATAATTTAACTGCTGGAACCAATACAGGTTTTTACTTCGAATCAATTCAAGAAGATTCACTGAGTAAATAACGAGCTTGACACTGCTGCTGCAACTCGTCCACAAATTTCCCACATACAGTACAGTACTGTACATACGAGGAGGGTTACAGCACGTTTCTGCGCGGACTTGAAATGATATCGGAACACCAGGGGTTTTTTTAAAAACCTTTTTCTCATATTCAGGCTAGGCAAACACCACCTTCTCGAGGAAATGACCACCACTTTTTTACACACACACTTCTCAGCCATTTTCATCCATTCATGTTTTGAAACGGGCCTTGAAATGTTCAGTTTTTATTTTATTTATTTTTTGAAGTTCCCGGCCCCAGAACAAGCTGGTCCGCGCGGAACCGTGTGACCCCACTCGTACCCGCTCAACCTTGTGTAGCGTGCAACTGCCAACGAGTGAGTGCGCGACCCACAAATTGAGTCGCTCTTTTTGACACAGATGAGGTGCTGTTTCTTTCCCCGATCACATCAGATACGGAAGCCCGATAACCGATATTGTATTGTACAAA